ATATACAAATCAGTTATGAATAACGTTTTATATAGTTCTAACATAAACTTTAAATAGTGATATAACCAAACTTATAAAAACTACTTTGTGATGCTGAGGCACTAGTCAAGTGTGTATGTTGGGATGGGGATTGGCATGGAAATAAATCCTCATATTCTGTAGTAAGAAGTAAATTATGTAATATGTAGAATTAGAAAAAATGAAAATGCACATATAGTACTTAGAATTATGGAGGTAAATACGAAGAGAAAAAAGGTAAAATAATTGACTGTAGATTGCATTGTGAGAAGGGAAAGGCAGAAGGGGGTGAGGGAAACAGTTTTCTAAAACAAGTCCTTTGATGAAAGGCCTAAAGTTATTCAGGTAATTCTGAGTTCCACAGATCCCCCCTCTCCTAGAAGACTTATGACTCTAACCTAGTGCTTCTCAAACTTGCTAAGGTAGAAGAAAGAAAAAAAGGTGGGAGTTTGTTCTCTGACCTTTCCGTTGCTCAAGTTCCTCAGACTGGACAGAGAGCTGCTCATGGGTTCGCTCTTTGTGCACACTTGCAGTTCTGCAGCTGCCTTTGCATGTAGATGGGTGAATGCCATCAGTGAGGAATGGGAAGTTTACCACTGGTTCGGTGGAACTTGGAATTCTCGTGTTCTTCCTCAGTTGACCTGCTACCATTTACATTGCAGAGTCCTCCTCAGAGAGCTGCTTCGTGCATTCTGCCCAGGCTTTGTAGATCCACTCACTGAAAGAAACAGTGGAATGCATTTATTCCATCTTTGCTGGGACCAGAAAGTACACCCATTTAAAGTATATATAATTCAGTGATTTTCAGTGAACTGAGAGTTATGCAAGCACCACCACTTCTAGAAAATTTCCATCACTCCAAAAAGATCTCTGGTATACATTTGTAGTCACTTTCTGTACCCACTCTTAATCCTAGGGTAAGTTACCATTAATGTACTCTGTTTGTATGGATTTGCCTTTTCTGGACATTTTATATAAGTGAAGTCATGTAGTAGGTGGTCTTTTGTGTCTGGGTTTTCTGTGAGAAGGATGTTTCTGGGATTCATTTATCTCATACCTAGCGTGTATCTTTTGCTCACTTTTGCCCAGTGTTTTCCAATTATATAGCTATTCCCCATTTATTTCTCCCATCACCAGATGATGAACATTTGGGTTGTTTCCATTTTCTGGCTATTATGAATAATGTTGCCAAGAACATTAGTGTACATGTTTGTGTGGATAGGTTTTCAATTTTCTGAGGTAGACTCCTAATGGCTAGGTCAAATGCTGGTAACCTCTGGCCAGACTTGATGCGCAGGACCCTTGGTGTGTGGACTGGTAGGTATGCCTCACAAGCAGGAAAAGCACTTGGTCTGGAAATCAGAGCCAGAACTGGCTAACAGAAGCCACCTCTACAGAGTGCAGGCAGCCATATCTGGGAAGCCCATTGCTAGGGTGATTAGGCGACTGAGAATTTGCTGGCGATGCTACTGAAACTCAGTGGAGAAAAATGCCTCTGGTATCCACCACACTTCAGTGGTAGCCACACAGTGGGAAGGAGGATAAACAAATAATCACACTGGAACCGGGAAGTTTCCAACACCCTTTACTGACAAAGGTTGTCATCTTTGAATTTTGCCAGCAGCAAAGGAGATTTAGGGGGCAGTTCCACTCCCAGACAGTAGCAATGAAAGGTGTATTTGGATCTCAGAGTGCATAAAGGGCACACTATATGACACAATATCAGCTCTCTGATAGCCAGTGTAATTTTTTTGTGCTTTATTGTTAAAATTTTTCTGTTTTAATTTACAATATGGTAAATAGCTATAATCCACATAAACAAAAGCAATTTGGGATTCCCAGTTCTTAATCATGAGATTTTAAGTCAAAATATTTTGAGGCCCACTACTCTGTGTTACTCCTTTTAATTAAAGTTCATTAAAAAGAAACAAAAGTCATCTGTAACTAGCAGTTCAACAACTTTCACTTTGTGGAAGTTCATTCAACTGTGTTTATGGTTGTCATCTTTTTTATCTGTATATTACATCACAATAAGAAGTTAAGACTCTTCTTTCTCCTCTCTTCCTAAACCACACCCTGTATGTAACTTTTTTTTCAAGTTGCAGAACCTTATACTGGCTAATTTTCATGTATAAGGGTAAACGACTCAATGGACAGGGTGGATGAATGCTGCTTCATATCACTGCTTGTGGCCTTCCTGCTCATCCTTAGCTCTGTATCTCACCTTCCCAGCGGGACCTCCCAAACCAGCCCCACCCCGCCAGTGGAAAACTGAGCTAGAATGCTGAAAGGATTTTTCTTCTCAAGTGTTTTTTTGCCCAGGTAGAGAGGGGAGAGTGAGTGAGTGAGAGAGTGTGTGTGTACCTGTTCAAAGATCAGTTATGATAATTTGTCCATATTTTTTATTTTGTTCTGAGAGAATGAGTTTTTTACAGTCTCTGAACAAGTATATTTAACTCTTTGATAAAGGAAATTAGTTTCTTTTTTGTATCTGTTCTTCTGGATCTGGCTCCTAATATTACCTTTGTTTTCTGAACCTTCCATTCCATTGTGATTTCCACTTTAGTCTTTCTTACTGCCAGTGTTCTTATAGTTTTCCTTTTATACTGTTTCAGAATTTAATTCTGTTGTATATCATCCAAGAGATAAATCTGGCTTATCACTTGTCTTCTGCACAGCCTGCTGTCTCAGATTTTTTTTTTCTTCCTACCTACTTCCTAAGCATGCACACGGCTAGCAATGCTATTTGTGCAATGCACATTTTGCCTGATCATCTTCTGGCTCTCACTTGATTTTGTTCTTTTTGTTGTTTTGGTAAGCTGGCAGCTTTGTAGTTTACCTTTGCAGTTGTCTGCTTTCTAATTCTATAACAATCAGTAGGATTAATATGGGAAAGAAATTTGTTACTTTCTATGATTTAGTTAAATAATGTTAGAATGAAAAATAACATTATTGTTAAATAACTTTTTCTGAATCCCTTTTACCTGTACACAAGCTATTCAAAGTCTTGTTCCAACGGTCTGTAAGGCAGTCAAGATAGATCTTTCCATAAAAACATGAGTACCCTTGGCATGCTCTCCTGTGATATATATGAAGCATAATACTAGTGACACTTCTACCCTAGCTGTCACTTAAAACAATTTTGAATGGGAAATATCTTCGGAGTTTTTTTGTGGGATGCTGCAGTCACATTCTTCTTCCCATAGCATAGGGACCAAATCTTTTGGATCTCACCTCTGAAGTCTAATCTTAGAGGGAGGGAGTTTTAGAAGGGATGACAGATTTTGTGGTCTTTGAGTGGATCTTGGAGTATACATAAGGTGAGAAGACGTTGACAGTGATGTGGAAATGAAGCTATGGTCCTTCGGGTCAATGGATAATGAGGTTACTGGTAATAGGAGATGGAGACCACACTGTGAAAGGGGATCTTGGGAATGGTAAAGGGAGGGTGTTGAAGTGGGGTTTAATGAAGAAAAATCGAGAACAGACTAGTGTTGATGAGGCTGATAGTGAACTTTCCTGTCACCTCTCCTTTCAACCCTTTTTACCTTGTTATATTTTTTTCCCTTCCATTTCTCATTTCTTCCTTCTAGCTGACAACTAGCAGCCCTAGTGTGATGCATTCAGTAAGTAAGGTTAGCACCTCTTCAGTAAAATGGTTAATATCCTCACCTGTCAGTAGCGTTGTTGTGGAAGCTTCAAATGAGGGGTTTTGTTGGTATTTTTCTCATTCTCCCTTCTCTTTTCTTCTCTCCCATTGACAGATAATAACAAATGAAACTGGAGAGACCACAGGATTTAAGGAGCTATTGAAAGAGCAAGGGGGAGGGTGGAAAGATGACTAGAGCAACTGTTATAATTTGGGGAACCTGAAAGTGTTATATATGCAGTTGTTAGGGGTCTTTGAAAACACATCTCTTGATAATCCAGTCACTTCTATTCTTCTTCCTCAGTAATCTGTTGTCTGGTAGTTTCATCTGGTTAACAGATTGAAAGATGTGCTTAAAAAAAATACAATTAATACACTGATTGCGCGTATGTTTTGAGTATGTTTGGTCTTTCTGATGACTGCATTTCTGATGCAGTTTTTACTAACTACATGTTGATATTTAACTATGGAAGAGGCACATCAAGAGTTTGATCAGCACAGCATGGACTGTGGAGTCCTCAATCTGCCCTTCCTGCTCCCTCACTGTGTCTGTCCTCAGCTTCTCATTTGTGGCTCTAGTACCTCATAGAATTATTAGTACCTAGTATATAATAGACACTCAGTAAATATTAGCTGTCTTCTTTGTAGAAGGTGTATTTTTATTTTTATTTCTAAACTGTGTAGACTCATCTTTTTGTGTAGTTGGGTTCTTTTTTTTTTTTTTTTAAAGATTTATTTATGCATACAAGAGCTGGGGTACAGGCCAGAGATGGGAGGGGGTGGTGTGAGAAGATTCACCAGAGACAGAGTGGGGAACAGAACAGGCAGACTGACTGAAATACACTGCTGAGGGGAGCAGCAGGCAAGTCAGGAGAGGTCTGCTGTACCATGTAGATTGCTCCTTGGCTGCCTGGGGATTGAATTTGTGCTGCAGAGGCTGCGGATTGCTTCATAGTACGGTGCTTAACCCCTTGCGCCACCAGGGAGGCCCCAGTCTATTTGGATTCTTAAGATGCATTCAGTTTGGAGTTGATGATACCCCTTAGCACATTCTCCATTAAAATGAGTCAACCGAAAACATTATCAGGAAGAGGTACCTAATTTTAAGAATACATTTGACATCTTTAAAATAATTTAAACCATAAACATATAAGTTTAAATAGGTACTTTTTATTAAATATGCAACATTAACCAAGATTTAAATCATTGAAAGGTTACCTAGAATCCCACCACTAGAGCTGTTTTTATTGTTCCGTTACCCTTTCTAGTCCCAATTCATTGATAATGCTATCTTAACAGTCACTTTTTATAAAGGCATTTGCTTTGTCTCTAGGTGTAAAACAAAGGTGTATCCAGATAATCTTCCTACAACAAGTGTGGTGATTGTTTTCCACAATGAGGCTTGGAGCACTCTTCTTCGAACTGTCCATAGTGTCATTAATCGCTCACCAAGACACATGCTAGAAGAAATTGTTCTAGTAGATGATGCCAGTGAAAGAGGTAAATTTTAAATCTTAATGCCAATAATATGCTACACCTTTTGTCATTAATGGTTAAAAAGCTAGCTGCTCTCATTTTTAACCTAATTTTATACAAACTTCTAATTTGTCCTAAAAATATTTATGGCATTTGAACTCATTCACAAAAAAACAAAAACAAACCCTTGTGAAACTTAAACTATTGTTTTAATTAGTTTTTAATTTGTGTCACACTTTAATCTTATTTCAAAAAGAAATAATGCTATATAAATGTTTATGCAGAACAGTGAAAAATGCCACATAATTTTTTTAGGATTTTCTCTGGAAAACTGCATCCCTGAGTCTGTGGAGAAAGACTGGATCCTACTTAGGGATGGAGGAATTTAGTTTCATGTACAGTGTGAAGTATCTTTATAGCAAAACAGATCCTTAGCTGGGTGAGGCTTAGTGCACTAGGTTATTCTTAGGTTTTTCTTTATTTTCCATTTCCAAGTTCAGAAATGATTTAAAGCTTGGTGCATAAAGGGATGAGGAAGGAACTTATGAAAAGGTGACACTTACTATGACTAATCTGAAAAAAATCTCTACAAGTGACTCTTACCCAATTACCCTTCCAAGAATCTAGATTTTTCACAAGTTTAGAATCTCCAAAAATTTCCTAAAATACTCTTTTGGGGAATATATAGTAATTAAAGGTACATTGGGCCAACATCATTTATTCTGAATCTTTCTTGGAGGGTCTGCATCACAAAGCAGCATAGAAAAGGTTCTACTTAGTTCATCAGTAAAAAAACCTATTAAATTCAATGACAGCAGCATTTCCCAGGCTTTCCCCCCCACACACACACATCTGTTTAGGAATCACTGTTGTCATGTGTTACTGCCACTGTTTCTATGATGACATAAGAAAAATTTGGAGGGACCTACACATAATGGCTCACTCTTCCTTCCTTGACTAGGCTATAATTTCACGACCCACCATTTCAGCCTCTGCTGATGGCAACTTCAACTGTCTTTCCTAATCTCTCACTGCATCTTCTGAAATGGTTTAGTTAAGTTTTATACCTTCTTTTTCCTCTGCCCACACTAAAGATACACATTTAATCATGATTAATTTTAATCACATCATATCTTAAGTGTTGGGAATAATTTCCAAATTCATAACAATTTAAATCTTACTATTTTGCCAGACTGTAAAGGTATAAATGAAGAATAAGATAAGTCCTGTCTTTTCAAGAACCTTATCTCCTTAATCTAATTGAGACAATTTATAATCACATAAAACATTTAAATAATAGTATAACATATAATGGGAAGATGAATGACAGTTGTTATAAACTAAGAATACCACATTAGAACAAATAATTACCGTTGACAGTAGAAACATAAAATTTATATGGATGATTATTTGCTAATTAATCCCTCTTTAAGAAAACAAACTGCAGTTAATTTAAGCAGTGATAAATATCAGTGCAGTGATAAATAGTCTATCCTGCAAATGACTTGTGTTTGCTTTACTTACATTTGATATTTGCTAAATTATTCTTCAAGGAGAATTTTTTTTAAGTGAATTTTTATTTCTTTCTTTGATTTCTCTATTGTTGTTTTGAGTGCCTGAGAAGGGTTATGTGGAATAGTTTTTGTAGGATGTAACCTAATCAGAAAGACATACGTGCCAACAACTCTAAAGTGACAAAATCACATATACTATTTATCTTTTTTACTTTTTCATGTAGGCCCTTCTTAATCATCGAACCTGTAAGAGAAATATGGGCAGATGTCCACCTCACTGTTCCATTTGGGGTTCTTAGTTACTAACCCGGATCCCCTAATCGGGGATATGGTTCAAAACCCCTTTAACTCCTACCAGGAAACTTTCTAGGTCACTATCGCTGATAGTTGGAAACCATGAAGCATTGTGTTGTGTGGTTATAATTGCAGTCTTGCTATGTGGACTAATTATCTAATACTTCTTTGTCTCTCTTGTTTGGGTACTAACTGTAATAATTCTTTGGCTCTCTTGTTTAGGTACTAACTGTTGAGCCTATAAGCCAGAGAAAGAAAGCTCTTTATTTTTTGTAACTATTTAAGTCTGCTCTTTCCTATTCATGAAATGCATCCAAACCATCACCATTTCTCACCTGGACTGCTGAAACAGACTAACTAGTCTAACGAAGCTCCCCCAAATACACTCTCACCCTTTCCCATCTGTTCACAGTGCTGCAGAGTGAAACTTTAAACATGTAAATTTGGTCATGTACTTCGGTGATTAAAACTTTTCCTCTAAAGCCTGCATGTCTCGGCCTTGGCCTGCATCCAGTCACATCTTGAACCCACAGTTTAGCTCACATGTTTACTTAGAATCAAGCTTTCTTTAGAGAAGCTTTGACATCCCACAATCAGGTCATGATTGTCTGAACACATCAGACATTTTACACTTCTTCCACAACATTCACAAGAGATCTAAACTATTTACTGTCCATTGACTATCTCTCCCATCATCTCCTCAGTGCTGACAGTGCTTGTTACATAGTAAAACATTGATTTAATGAATGAATGAAAGAATAATTAAACAGTTAATTAATCCTGGCTTCTATTTCTTGTTGATACTAACTTCCTAATTAGGTTGTGTAGCATGTACAGTCTTCTTGTGGCCTTAGGGTACTTGATTTCACAGGTAAGCTGCTGAGTTGGCAGTAGCTTCATTTATTATAGATGTGAGAAACAGGTGCTGTAATTATCCCTATTTTATTGATGAGGAAATTAAGCTTAGTATAAACCCAGGACTTGACCTCTTTTAACTGTTATGTATATCACATCTATCATAACTTTATTGTTAAAGGGTCTATGATGAAGACAGTCTGGATGAATCCCTAGTTTATGTCAGAAGTTATGTAATTGGCAATTCAGAAGGTTATTTTAAGACTTAGAACTGATGTAATGTTCCTAATCTGAGATGATACTGTTTTTCTCATTTCACACAAAAGGAAATGATGGTTCTTGCTTAGTAGGGATTAGGAGATGGGTTTATTAAGACTCTAAATTCCTTACTCTCCCCTACTGTTTTTTAGAGTTCTGGCTTAGATTTCTCATGTATTTGCTGTGAGCAGTGAAATTTTCCCTGATACTCTGACAAGCTCACTTCCTGGTGGAGATGCCTAGGGATTCATTTATAAACCAGTAACTATTAAAGCTACTCTGATAAATGAGATTCCCCCCCGCCCTGCTTTTTTTAGATGATGTAGTTTTTGAACATAATCTCTTACCACTTTCCCCCAACCTCATTTTTATAAAATGAGGCATAAATAAGTAGCTCCTAATTCCCCATCCAGCCGTGAGGCCATAATTTTGCATCACCTGTTAGGAAGACACCTATTTCTTGGCCTTATTGCATGAAAACCACAAAGATGCCAAGAAAATTTGTGGAATAGTTACTTTTTTTGAACTTCCAGACCATAGAATTATGCATTTTTCATTTTGTTTCTAGACAGGACAGATAATTATAGCTTTCAGAGATGTGGGACTTGGGAATTAAATTACATTCTTAGAAATACTTGAAGCTGTCTAATATTTTTGGGAAGACATCATTCATAACATACTCCATCCTGACAAGTCTAAGATACTAGAATAGATACATCTTACACCCTACCACATGAGATTGTTTGAACCCTGGACACAATTTAAGCCATGTCAGATCAGGTGATTCTATAGTCATGATTTGTTCTCTCGGGAGTTCCCTTCTGGGCTTTCTTTCTGTGGATGAAAAGGTGGGCCTGGAAGTTAGGCTGACCCAGGTTAGATCTGCCCTTTACCAAGCTGTGTCAGTTTAATCAGTTCGTTTCATATTCGTTTCATTTAGATGCAGCCTTTTCTGCATCTAAAACTACTAACAATCACATAGGGTCATTGTGTGGCTTAAAAGAAGCTAGCACTATGCTGAACAGACCCCAAATGACAACTGCTACTACAAAATGTTGCTTTTTTCCAGGGTTGGCACTGCCCTTACCTTTTTACTCAGTATCAAGTTATATCTTTCTGATATTAGAATTTGGTTCATAATGTCACAGTGATAATCACAGTTCTACTCCAGATACTCTTTCTATCTCAAATATATTAGGAAACATATTAGCAGAAGTGGAGAAGATCAGTGTACTGGTTTAGTGGGTATCCATAGGCCTTTATCTTTTACAACTTTCATATCTCTGATTATTTCATTATTAAATCATTCTGATTGACCAGACTAATACCAAGAACCATTTCATTTTTACTTGTTTTTTCTCTCTACTGTACAGGAAGTTCTTTGGTTTAGTATTTAAAGAGCCTCTTAATATGTATACGCTGATCTCAATGAGATCTTCCCATTACTAGAATCCCGCTGGACAAAGGTAGTGTTAGGAGTCCTAGAGTCTCATGTCAAGTTTTTCCTTCCCAAGATTATTCATGTACCTAAAGGTGTGGGGACTGGTTAGAAAAGTATTTCCCCATACCATCATCACCAATTTCAATTCCACAAATGAACCTGATCTGAAAAATTCTTTCTCTTTGCTTAAAGATCCTGAGCCTTTTTTACTTCTTTAAAATTTTATATGCATTTATTTATTTTTAATTTATATTTTATATAATTCTTACATCATTTTTCATTTTTGCACAACAGCAACATGGTTGGAGCTAGAAGGGATCATGCTCAGTGAAATAAGTCAGAAAGAAAAAGAAAAATACCGGATGGTCTCACTCATTGCAAGAATTTAGAAAACTTAAATAAAGGACCAGGAAAAAGACTAAATAATACGAAGTAAAAATCAAAATCAACAAGCAACTATAAACCAGAGACACACTACGTGGGGAGGGCGGGGAAGTGGCAAGGAAAGACTGGGATCAAAATAAGGGGGGGTGCAATTGTATGGGGAATATAACCAAAATGAAAATGCATACATTGAGCCTTTTTTACTCTTTAAACTCAATTATGTACTTTGGAAACAGGGCATCCTTGAATTAGCTCTATCCGAACTTTCCAGGAGAGCTTTAATTTCTTATGCCTGTATCCTCTTTTTATCCCTCTTCCTGTTCTGTGCGCTTTCCTTTTTAACTTTTACCTGTAACTACTTGTCTGTTTGTCTGGTCTTACAGTAAGCCAGCATTTCTTTTCTAAGCTTGATCTCACTTCCTGCCTCTTAATAAAAGAATTACGTAGTAAAAAAACTATGATAATAAGACCATTTGTTTCTGCCTTTGAAGAAATTCCACAGTTTTCTGAACTTCAGCAGCTATTGGAGATTCTGTTCCTTCTCTGCTGCGGTCTGGATTGAATGCTATAGAATTACCTTCTTTCTATTCCTGATCCTTAGCATGATTAGAAAAGGAACCATGCCTGACAGGGAGCTGCTTAGAGGATTATGGTGACATGCCTATCTTTGGTTGACACCAAGCCCAAAGGCTTGCTCCTGCATCTACCTGTAATAAGGTGGAGGCAGCTCTAGGACATGCCCTTGGGATATAAAAGACTTCTTGAGGCAAAATTGGTTTGTGTGTCGGGGAACCTGACTGAAATATGAATATTCAAAATCAAAATTGCTTCACTTCTGGGTAGTACCTGCCAGATCACAGTTTTTCATGTTAATTTTTGTTTTGTTTTGCTAATTTTTCAGACTTTTTGAAAAGACCTCTAGAGAGTTATGTGAAAAAATTAAAAGTACCAGTTCATGTAATTCGAATGGAACAACGTTCTGGATTAATCAGAGCTAGATTGAAAGGAGCTGCTGTGTCTAAAGGCCAAGTGATCACCTTCTTAGATGCTCATTGTGAGTGTACAGTGGGATGGCTGGAACCTCTCTTAGCCAGGATCAAATATGACAGGTAATTGGTGGGGTGGGGCGGAGAGGGGGTTTACAAATTTATTTTCAGTGTATTTGTCCTAAACGGTAAATAGCACCATTCTGTATTTTTCAATAAATACAAAAATAATTTCCTCTGAAGATTCCTTAAAATACCTGTGATGAAGTATTGTAAACTAAATATGAAGACATACTCTGGAAGGTGTATTTACAGGCTCTCTTGTTAATGAGTATGGATTAGGTTGCATGTTGTTAGGATGTAGACTATATGCTATGTTCACTAAGCAGGAGAAGATCAGATGGACAGTGAATTAAGAGAAGGTAAAATAAACCCTTCACTTTTCTCTACTTTCTGAGACTAACACTGGGCCAAGCAGGTCATGTCATACCTGTGGAATTAGTGCTCTCAGCTTTTAGCATAGCAAGAAGTAGAAGGGGGTTAATGGATATACATTGCATCCTGTAATGCTTATTTGTATATAGAAAAGCACTATAATCTTCAATAATGCAGGACAGGCATCAGGAGCAATGTATGTCCCTGGCTGTAGTACTTTCATAATAAATTTTTTTTAAAAAATTAACCTGCTGCTTACCTGTGACTTAGGTTCTCTCCTAATAAACAAAAAGTAACTTCAGCCTGCTAGACCATAATAGTTGAATTCCTGCTTGTCATTGCAGTTTGAGCTACAGACTGCCTGTATCTACATTAAGATAAAGATTCTAGCAGGGAATACTTTTGCTAGTCAAGTGGAGGATGGCAGGGGCTAAAGCCATTGTATGTATTCTGTCTGTTAGTAGATGCTGGACTTAGATCTGTTCCTTTTCAAAGATAAAATATAGGAAAAATCAGCATTGAGTTGATGAAAAGATACAGCAGCTTTAAGGAGGAGAATATTGCCTGAAGGAATAGAATATCTGTGAATTGTTTTCTATAAGTAATAGATGACTGATTTAGGATATATTTACTTATGTAAAAACAACACATAACTTTATGACGCAGGAACCTGGACCCACAGAGAGAAAGCAATGGGAGGTGATAACACAAGTATGAAAAGGAAATTGGCAGAAGTAATAACCATAATGACTTCCAGTTTGGGCTGTATGGTAGATTAGGTATCATGAATAACTTTTCCAGCTGAAAAAGCCAAAATGCTGGAAAAAATATAAAACACATTTTGAACTGCATCACTGAGATGGCACCAAAGTAAGAATTTTGCGGATCTTAAAATGAAGTGAGAACAAGTGAGCAATCCAAACACTAATGCCAGACCAGCTTTTACTCGTAGGGTTTCTGCTGAATTTCAGGGGATATTGAGTTTCTGCCTTGGTAAACAGACAGGATATAGAAGACAAGGCCTGTGCAAAGTGGGATGATGAATGGCAACCACCACCAGTATAATGCCAAGATACTGACACCTGTGCTTCAGTGTAAGAATGAAGAAATCCCATCATACCAAAGAAAACTTACTTGTTTCAGCCTTGGTGTGGGAAGAAATGGGGAATTTGTTTAGGAAAGCAAATCTTCCCCAAGAATTTGTAAGCAAAATACATAAAAAGAGGAAACCAACTCACCTCTTTCAACGAGACTAGTATAACTTTGATGTGAAAACCAAGTATGTGGAAAATTATTTAAACCGACTCATGAACACTAATACAAAAATCTCACAGTACCAACAAATTGATTCCAAATGGAAAAGATACAAACATACATCTATGTACATATGTATATATAAAATACATATTTAGATGTATTTTAATTGGCTTAGTTGAATATTACGAAACCAATTCATATAATATACCCCATTAGCAATTTCTGAAACTATGATTAAATCTCTGTCACTAGAACTCCATGGTCACTTTAATTGATACAGAAGAAACTAAAACAGATGTCTATTTATAATTAAAATTATTTAGTAAGCTATTATAAAATGGAAACATACTGATCTGAGAAAGAATAGCTGAAAACTAACAAGAAAAAACCTGTAGCAAGCAAACATCATATTAATAGAGAAATGTTCAAAGTATTTTTAAAAAGACATGAAGCAAGATAAGATGCCCTGAATTATAGCTGTTACTCCGATATTATTAAATGTCATGGGTTCTGAGGGTTATAAGGATTGAACCGGAAAAAAAACAAGTGTAGACAATTGCAGAGTATGTTTTTTAATGAAGAAAAATAATCTATATACAACACAGTAAAAATAATGAAAATTTAGCAATGATCCCAAACATATGATCACTAGAAATGTCAGTTTCATCTCTACACCAACAAGGAATAGTTAGAAAATATCATGTAAAAAGAAATACTATTTATAATAGCAATGGAAATCATGGACTATAATTACAAATATATTTAACAAAAGATACATGAAATAGAAAATTACTGACATTGACTGGAAAATAATGTAAGTAGAAAGAAAGATTCCATATCTACATAAGAACATCAATTTTGCTACAATGAACTATAAATTCAGTGAATTTCCAGTGGAAATCTAAACTGAATTTTCTTGGAGAAACTGATTATTACATTTATATGGAAATGCATATTTAAAAAAAATCTAAGATACTCCTGAAGAATAAGTCACATACAGTTATCAAAACTTTATTAATTTTGGCAGTGACGTACTGATGTAGTAATTCACTGTTAGACTAATGAAAGAGAATAGTGTCTATAAATTCTCCCATGTTTATATGGAAATTCAATTTATCGCAGAGCAGGCACTGATATTACAGCAGAGGGGGAAATAAAGACCATTAATAAATAGTGCTGAAACAGCTGGTTATCCATAAGGTACATAAATGAAGGTGGATAATTCTGCATATCATACCCAAAATCAAATCCATGGGGACTTACTGAAGACTTAAATATGAACAAAGATATAATTCTTTTTGAAGATAATACAAGAGATTATCTTTATGATTTTGGAGTAGGGAAAGATTTCTTAAATATGACACCAGTTGGACAGGGAGGGAAAGATTTCTAAAATATGGCTTCCAAGGACTGTGAGTAGAGCACCTTTCTTAGAAGGGGCTATGGTCATGTGTGAATTGTTTCAGGTTTATAAAAAAAGTCATTTGTTGTAAGACTTACAGCCAAGGGTTATTTTTGAGAACTATAAAGTTTTTTGTTTTTTTACATTAGGCAAATATGTATAAATGAAATAGGGGCAGAAGATTACCAATTAGTTATAAGTAGATATAAATAATGATGATGCTAGCTTGGTAGGCGTTACCAGGAAATTTTTTACCATTGTCTTTAACATTAGAGAATGTATTTTATTATTTTAAAAACCCTTAATATGTAGTTGTTATGGCAGGCCTCAAAAGGGAATCTATAAATTAACATTTTACTCTTATGATTTTAGGAGAACAGTGGTATGTCCTATCATTGATGTCATCAGTGATGATACTTTTGAGTACATGGCCGGCTCCGATATGACCTATGGTGGCTTCAACTGGAAACTCAATTTTCGCTGGTATCCTGTTCCCCAAAGAGAAATGGATAGAAGAAAAGGTGATCGGACTCTTCCAGTCAGGTAACTAAATTTGTCAAACATTTTCTTCTACAGTATTATTGGCAGGGGGTTATGAAATTTGGGGAATTAAATCAAAAGAATAAGTGTGTTTTGAGAAACATGAATCATTTGTGTACTATGTATGTAGTGAAGAGCCAGTCTTACACATCAGTATTTTATTTTACACATCAGTATCCTCTGATCAATAAGTAAAATTAGAATTTTTCTTATATATAAATCACATGAGAAATGCTGGTGACGTGTATATGTTCTTTCTTATGTGAACATTTGCCAATCTATAAGTCATATTTTTGCCTTCATTCAGTGGTTAAGGAACATAACATTTAACTTAAACTGTCCCTTAATTATTGTAAATGTGAAATACGTGAAAATTTTACCTAAAACAGGGTCCTTACCAAAAATGTAAGATTGTAGATTCAGACTTGTACCATTTGAATGATAGTTATTGATTGGTGAGGTTAGAAAAGCTTGTTTCAAATATAAAAATTACTAGAATTGACATAAGCATAAAAAAAAGCATTATATTTTTTTTTTGCACTTCTTCAAGTATAGGGTTGTTTTGTTTTCCCCAGAAAGGGATAAAATCTCCATGATATTTAGAACTTTTAAATAGAGACCTTGAGCTTTCTATGCCATCCTGGGATTTATTCCAGTTGCGTCATTTGCTGTATCTTCAGTAACTGAGAACCAAGCTTTAACTTTCTATCCTGGGCCTCTCAGATCTGCTTTCCGTGAATTCAAGTCCACTTTTGGCAGAGTTAAGAAGAGGTTTCACTAATTCTATGCTCTTTCACCTTAACCAACCTAAAGGGACTTTTCCACTCTTTTGCTGATATATCAAATCACTGTCTAAATCATGGGTTCCTGAACATTTCATAGATGGCAGATCACTTTGAAAAATCTGACTCTTTTCTGCTGAGGGTGAGGGGGAATGTACATGTACAAACAGAAAATTTAGCATACTATTCTAGGATTTTAGAGATAAAAACCCAGGCCAAGAAACCTTCATACTAAATGATAATGGAGTTGGTCTGCTGCCTTTGACTCCTAAGATATTAGACTTATCTCATTCTATTTCTCTTCTAAAATCAAAATAAGCCCTATTTTTATAGAACTATTTCTACTGGAAAGGCAAGTGCCAGCCTGACTAGGGCATGAGATAACTGTTTTAGGTTTGCAGAGGTGGCCAGTTCATCCTAAAATATGGTCTCAACAGTATTCTTGTCCCTGGAATATAATTTTTTTCTCCCAGTTGGAAACCACTTTTCTTCATACTGACCTTTCGTGAAACCACATGGTTGACTGATATTTAAATCCTCTTTCATTATCATTTCTCTACTTAATTTTACCTGTCCCCAATCATTCTGCCTATGTGGACCATGTTTTGATGAACTGGGTTTCTCTTTTGCAGAGAATAGACCATATTTGGTCAGGATGATGACCCCATTAGAAGGACTATATTGGTTTTATTCTGTAATTTATTTTCTCTTTTCCTTAAAGCTTCCTGTTAGGTATAGCGAAAGGGCTGCATTGTTTTCATCCTGTTTTACCTTATGTCTTTACAATGTTAGCTACTCATTAGAACCTGGCATGTCAGAGTTGCTAACATGAGTCAAGTTAATATAGTCAACTGCATGTGTAGTTGCAAGGAAACACCGAGTTAGGTGCCCAGCAGATGGAGAGGAGTAAGAAAAATAGCTTTAACTTAAGGAACTTGAGATGGAAACTCAGTAAGGATGTGAGGACCAAGAAAGGTACTTTAGACAGGAAGAGTTCTTGGAATTAGTGTGACGTCAGCCCCAGGCAGCAGTTGTGAGAGTAGGTCCAGTGATCAGCTTGAATTTGGTACAAGTCACATCTAAAGACCAAGTAACACAGAATGCCCCCCAGGAACATTCCTAAAGAACGCGAGAATAACTTTATTCTGTAGTTATGAACAGTTATCAAGGTGCTTTTTTCTGTCAATAAGAAATTTGTTTTAAAAAAAAACAAATGCTGGCATTGTCCAGAAAAATTTGACAGGTTTATTTCTAATGGTTATAAAGCAATTCAAGCTGAAACTTGTTCACTGAAGCACTTTAACTTTCATGAATACTTTGTCCCCACATTTATATTAAAAATTCACACATAAAAGAAAATGGAGAAACTGCCAATACCTGGTTTCTGTCCCTATTTTCTCTCTTAACATCCTACTCATAGGTACCTTTTAACTGTATGGGTATAAAACTACTCTTAAAAACAAAAACTAGGTTTTAAATTGTTAAAACTCCTGGCTTAGTTTAATTATAATTGCATTTCAGAACACCTACAATGGCAGGAGGCCTTTTTTCAATAGACAGAGATTACTTTCAAGAAATTGGAACATATGATGCTGGAATGGATATTTGGGGAGGAGAAAACCTAGAAATTTCCTTTAGGGTAAGTTTCCCTTGGAAAAAGTGATATACTTTAATAACTCATATTATCTCTCTCTCTAAATAAAAAATAACTGAACTGGATGAGTTTAATTGGACTTCAGAGCGTTCAGCTTAGAATTTGTGTTAAGGGTTCATTATGAACTATGTAAAGCAAATAATTCAGTTATCTCAATAGCTATAAAATTTACACAGGATTCCTTGGTTGTTTTTGTTATTTTCAAGAAGGTAATTCAAACTCTAAAAATTCATGCTCTAAAGCATATGTGTATGTATGCTATTTTGGTACTTAACTGCCAAGATCATAATTTCTCTTTCAATAATAGCTTTGTGCTTTGGTGTAAAAATTGTTCTTTCTTATACAAAACAGTCACTCTAGCAGCTTTATATTTTTCAATAAAAAAAGGACAGGAGAATTCTGAAATTTTTCTAATTTAATTTTGTTCAATCTTATGTAAAAGTCTTATGGATGTCATGTTCTCTAAAATCAGCAATTTTTTTTTTTTTAAATAATTCACTTTAGACACTCATAATGGAAACACATTGAACTGTACTATAATTTGAACCAGCTAGCTCATTTTGTGCCACTGTGTCACTGGCCCCTCACTGTAGGAGAGGTTTGGACTCTCAAGCACCTTAGAGATCCTGACCACCTGTAACACTTCATGACCTGGGTAAATTGTTATGCAGACATATTAAATACTAAATAAAATTGAAACTTTTAAAAATGTGTTTTAATTGTAAATAGTTACTGGATTTTTAACTTATGGAAAATGGATTTTGGAAGGAACAAAAAGGTAGTTTCATTAAGAATGTGAAACCAGGGCCTCCCCGGTGGCGCAGCGGTTGAGCGCTGGGTTGCGAAGCTGCACGCAGCCTCTGCAGCACCGGTTCGATCCCCGGCTGCCAAGTGAGGGTCCCACATGGCGTGCAGACCTCTCCTGCCGCCCACTGCTCCCCTCTGCAGTGTACTACTTTGTCATTCTGCTTGTTCTGCTCTCCGCTCTGGCTCTGGTGAATTCTCTCACCCTCCCGTGCTTCTGCTTGTATCAATAAGTAAATAAATCTTTAAAAAAAAAAAAAAAGTGAAACCATATTTGATCTCCCTGATACTCTGTTTTTATTGTGCAAATACAATAGGGTACATGTCACTATTTCTCACAAATATCACCATCATTGTTATCACCCATTGATTTGTGAGAGGTCCAGTTTAGATCCTAGGTTCTGTTTCATATACCTGTGACACAGATTTTAGAGAAGGGGGAACAGGTGGGACTCTGGCTGAATACTCCATGGCCAAGTGTTTTTCTTTTTTAACTGTGAACCACGTTAATAAATACATTATACGTTACACATACACCACACACAAAATGTAAACATTTCATGAAACAGTATGTCCTTCTTAGCAATCATTGGTTGTAATTCTTCAAATTTGAATTTATGATCCTTACATGAGTCATGGTCCGCAGTTAGAAAAACACTGCTCTAGACCACATGCCTTTCCTTATTTAGCCTGTAACCTACCTTTTCTGAATTTAACCTTCAATTTCTAGTTTGGTCAGAACCAAAAATTACAGAAGGGTTCACTCCTGAAGAAGCATTGACTTTGTGACCATATAGCAGGAACTCCTCTCTGTGCCCTTGACTTTGTGAAATTCCAACTATGAAACCGGATTGATAGAACAATCTTTAAAAAACAAAAACAAAAACATCAGTGCCTTACATGGTCATCTTTGCTATTTTCAGATTTGGCAGTGTGGAGGAACTTTGGAGATTGTTACCTGCTCACATGTTGGACATGTGTTTCGGAAAGCTACTCCTTACACATTCCCAGGAGGCACAGGGCAGATTATCAATAAAAATAACAGACGACTTGCAGAAGTGTGGATGGATGAATTCAAGAATTTCTTCTATATAATTTCTCCAGGTTAGCATTATTTTGCATTAGAATTACAACACTCTGATTTTCTTAGCCCTGATCCTTGTGTGTCCTGAGAAATAAGAAAGGATTGAGAAGTTTTGAGCAGAGGTGAACACCCACCTCACTTGTTCTTATAAGGAGTAAATGAAATCATGCCCAGTAGAGAAAGTGCTTAGCAGCAGAATCCTGGTATGTTATTAACAATAATAATAAATTTTCCAGGTCACTGTTGCAATAAATTACTGTTAACTCAGGTGTTATCCATATTTATTTGTTTGTTTTAACCTCACTGCAGTATTTAACATTTATGTGAAAGTGTCAAGTAGCTCAAGGCCTGTGTAGAGCCCGGTAGCATGCCCAAAGAGACTTTTCTCTAGTAACTTTCCTGTCACTCAAAGTGTTCTGGGACTAGCTGTTATATCAGCTATAAGTCTGCCTGACATTGTTGCTATTTCATTCTCATTTTTTAATTATAAGACTGACAAGTGGCAGGGTACACAATTCAATGAGTTGTATGTGAGAACCTGACTGGGAATAAATTCTGTCTTTCACATTTGAGCAAAATAGATCTTAATTTTTGTTTTTTTTCTTAACATAATTTTCTGATACCATTTAAGTTATAATTATGCATAATATTAGCATATATTTCACTCTCACATTAATTTTTCTTTGAAAAAACAAAACCTGTTTAAATTTTTTTTAATACTTTGATAGGTGGGCTTATGGTAATACCACTTGTGTAATCACACATTATCAAATGATACATTTCCCATTAATCTGACTTGTTAATAAATGTAATATGTAAATAGAATGTGTTACCTAAAAGGACATTAATAATTCAGTCAATTCTTTCAACAGGTGTTACAAAAGTAGATTATGGAGATATAGCATCAAGACTTGGTCTAAGACACAAACTCCAGTGTAAACCTTTCTCTTGGTACCTAGAGAATATTTATCCCGATTCTCAGATTCCACGTCACTATTTCTCCTTGGGAGAGGTAAAAAAAAAAAAAAAAAAAAAAAAGTTACTATGTTTTTGCTAACTTATGAAAAATAATAGAAGTTAAACTTCCAAAAAGGGAATATCTTTATGGTAAAATTATGTAACTTAAGGTATGGGGATGTTCTTGTTTGTTGACACAATCTGGCTTTTAACTTTAAACCTCATTAATTTTTTATCATAGATTTTATTAAAGAATTCTCTACTCTAACCTTTCACAGTTGGACCTTTGTTACAGTATATTAGTGTCTTCAACAAACTAACCCATTTAGTTGAAACCATATACTGCTACAACTAGTAGTGTCCTAGTGTTAATCTCAGGCAAAGCTTGAACTTCAAAGTATAGTTGTAATGAACTCACAAGTAAACCTTGACAGACAATTATAATGAATTGTGTTTTTAGCACCCATTTATTTCCTTTGGAGTTCCAATTCTTGGTTTGTTGTATTCATTTATTGTTTCTAGTAGATTTTTAGTGGCATATTTAAAGTTTTCTAATACTATCACTTGCAAAAAGTGATAGTTTTACTTCTTTTCCAACTTGGATTCCTTTTATTTCCTGTCGTCTGGCTGCTCTAGCTAAAAACTTACTAAATTAAACAGAAGTGGTGATGGTGAGCATCCTTGTCTTGTTCATGTTCTTAAAGAGGAAGCTTTGACTTTTTCACCGTTAAGTGTCATATTGGCTGTTGGTTTATAATATATGACTTTTCATATTGAGGTAAGTTCCTCTTATCCCCATAGTTAGAATTTTTATCACAAATGGGGTACAGAATCTTATCAAATGCTTTCTTTGTATCTACTCATTATTTTTATCTTTAATTTTGTTGATATAGTGAATCATGTTGATTTATATATATTAAACCATCTTTGCAACCCTAGGGTTGATTTTGATGTATAATCCATGTGATATAATGTTGAATTCAGTTTGCTAGTATTTTATTGAAGATTTTTGCATTGGTGTTCATCAGGGATAGTGGTCTATATTTTTTTTGTGCTGTCTATCTGGTTCTGGTATTAAGGTAGTATTGGCATCTTAAAATGTATTAGGGAATGTTCCCTCTTCTTGGATTTTTGGAAATAATTTAAGAAAGATGGTTATAAGTTCTTTAAGGGTTAGATAGACTTTCATAAAGCCATCTGGTTCTGGGCTTTTGTGTATGGAAAGATATTTTTACCCTGTTTCAATTTACATGCTTGTGATCAGTTTGTTCAAATCTTTTTCTTCCTGCCTTAATCTTGGTAAACTATATTGATCTAGAAAAGAATAACTCAAAATGCTTTGCTTATAGTATGGAATTTTGTTTCTACTGGGTCAATCTGCAGTTTCTAGCAAGTCTTTATAAGTTGATAAATGGTGGATATGTTGACTTCCTTCAGTGCTCCTCACAGATGTCTTGTTAATGAGTATCTGTTCTCTTTGCTCTAGGCCCTTTCCAGTAAAGAAAGGCCTGGGGTGTGACATGAGAACATTCAGTAACAGTTGTCCCTGTTAACTTGCCTTTCCTTTTAACTGACCCAAATTTGGACACTAAGGCATTGTTCGCTGGGCCAGAATATCAGCATTTTACAAAGAGTCTTGTCTAACCCATAGTAGATAATTGCCTAGGCAAGCCTGCCTTTTACCCACATCTTCCCAGCTGGCTCACTATATAAAGGAACAGATTTTACCCTCTGTGGCCTGCTTATATGCCTTTTTAATTAAGCAGCTGGTCTTAAACTTTCATTTCCTTAATGTCAAGTCATACTGTGCAGGTTAAACCTCCAATTTCTGTGGCCAGGATCATGCTCAAGTGCACCCAGTAATCTTACACTGTGACACTAGCTCTGCCCACCTGAACCTGCCTTTACTAAAAACTGGAATTTAGCTTTTAGGGATTATTGCTTTCATACTTGAAGGGTCCAGCAAAACCTGAAATGATAGGATTTTATGGTAAAAGGGAACCTTAGTATAATTTAGACTCTCTGGCTTTATTAAGTGTGATTTTCACACCTCCTCTATTACGTGGAACTGAACAAATGTGTTTCATTGTAACATCTAATTGTTGTTAATCCAGGAGCTGAATATTATGAATAATGCCCACAAAAATAAGAAATTCAGAGGTTTTTTGCTTTAGCCAATCTTATGGATTTACCAATTGCTTCTTTAAGAGGCAGAACTAATAATCCTGTGACTGAACATGAACTCTCAGGCATCGTTCTGGTGCTTTGCAGATATCAACTCATCAACACTACAAGATAGGTACTATTTCCCCACCTCCCAAGTAATTTGAAGCATAAATAAATGGTTTAAACAACATTGCTGAGGTCACAGCTACAAAATGGAAGAGATAGGATTAAGAACATAAACTCTCAAGCCAGACTACCTGTGCTTAATTCCTAACACCCATGCTTTTTTCTCACATCTAACCACATTTAACAAATACATCCCTTAATGGCAGAGAGTGAAAAAGTGAATCCAGATTCCCTAACATTGAATTTCAGAAATCCTTTATCTACATTGCCATCATTAATGGAGGTACCAAGATTCTGAAAAAGACTAGCAGAAACTTAGGTGCTAATATTTTCTGTTTCCCGGGAATGAGTACATTCACAATTATTTTAATTTCCTAAAGTCAAAAACTATTTTAGTGATTGCTGTGTATACCTAGTTTGCTACTTCAGAAAGGGTTTGAAGAAATTGCTGGATCTAATAGGAAAAAGAAAAACTGCTAATTCTGCGGGCACGCTAGGTGTCAGTTTCTGCTTGGACATGTGTTTGTGGTACCACCATGAGAGCTCTCAGCAAATCTGAGATTCTTCTTGTGACATTTCCAAGTTACTGTGTTCTAAAATTATGCTGACATCTGATGACCCTCAAGGTGTTCAACTGGAAAGGCAAGGGAGAAAGAAGTAGGTTGCTGTTAGGATGTTGGTCCTAGAGGTCATAGAGGGTTTGGGTCATTTGATTTTAAACCTAATCTCTTATGCAAAAGCCCCAGTTCTTCCCTTCCACCCAGGAATAATAGTTTTACATACCTACATCCTTGTATCTTTATAAGGAAAAAAGACATTTAGAGTTGTCGGTGTCTTTTTAAAATACTGTAGTAATATATAGACTGTACATTTGTTCGTAAGTTGCTTATTTGTGATTTTAACTGATCCCACAAACACAAAATTACATTTTTTCTTACCTACATGATAGGATGACATACCTTGTTACATGTCTCCCTTCTGACTTACCTGCTAATACATCCATGGGTCTAGATTTAGGATTTTCAAATAACTACCACATGCTTTTAAACTCAGTGGTTCAGAAGAGTCAGCATATCAAGAGGCATTGCTTAACATAATCTTCCAAAGTCTGAAACTGATTTAAATGCTTTTATCTAATTGACTGATATCTCATAAAAGAGGGCTGTTTGCACCAAACCGTGCATAGGCTTCCAGTTAAGCCAAGCACCAAACTCTTTGATCAGAAAATACTCACTTTTGGTATTGTAATGAGTTTCTCCCTGAAACACAAATTATAAACTCTTAAGACCACAGAATTTTAGGTAGCCAGATAGTTATTTCCCCACAACTCATCATCCTTGTCTCAACAATTGAAGGTTGTTTTAGTGGGAAGTTTAGACTGATTTTAATGTTTGTGTTTGCTGAGCTAGCCTCCTGTAACTCCTGATATTTTTATTCTCCCATAGATACGGAATGTGGAAACAAATCAGTGTCTAGATAACATGGCTAGAAAAGAGAATGAAAAAGTTGGAATTTTTAACTGTCATGGTATGGGAGGTAATCAGGTGAGTGTTTTAGTAAAGCTTTGAAAGGAATAATTTTCGGGCTTGTTTTAATCTTCTGCCCTTTTTTAATCTCATCTTATCATTCAGGAAATATTTTCCTACCTTTAAAGAAAAAATAATAAAGCCCTTTAGGAGAAGGGAGGCTCCAATTGAATGATTATTTTTAAATGAAACATTTGTAAAAGGCTCCTTGGGAGAACTGTTTACATTGCAGTCTGTGATACTGCCTTTTCTAATCAGATGACAACCTTTACAATATATTCAGTATAATGAGAGCTCAAGGTCATTTTGATTTCCTCTCTGTTCTAGTGGTAGTTTTGAGTCATTCTCCACTACATTAATAAAATTCAAAAATATTTATCTTTAAATACTTATTTCCTCCCTTGCCAATTACGGGGCATATAAAAATGCTAATTTATTTTAGTGTTACAGCATTGTTTTTGTTTTTGTTTTTGTTTAAGGTTTTCTCTTACACTGCCAACAAAGAAATTAGAACTGATGACCTTTGCTTAGATGTCTCCAAACTTAATGGCCCAGTCACAATGCTCAAATGCCACCACCTAAAAGGCAACCAGCTTTGGGAGTACGACCCAGTGGTGAGTTCCCTAATTGCATATAGGAATACTACTGCCTGTGTCATGGGATATGTTACATACTTTATAACTAAAACAATTCTGTGGAGTTTGAATGTGGATCAAATTGTTTATATTCTAAGAATTGGCAGATAGGGAAAACAATATAAATGTTTTCATCTCCCCAATAATTAAATTTTCTTACCTCCAGCCCTTGGATCCTTGTTACTAAGTAGCCACTCTTCCCTCATGTAAGTCTTTAAGTTCTGCACTCTATCATGGGGGAAATGGAACAGTATGTAGGTTTTTTTAAAATACTGAATTAAACAGCTCAGTTTAATTCATGTGAGCTTTAATTAGTGAAATTCTCTGGTTCATCCTAATTTTTCAGTGTCACATACAGCAAAACTTTTTAAATTTACCTTTGTTTACTCTGGAGCCTCTCCTCCCCACCCATCCACTATAGAGGTATTTAAAAGATACTCGTTCAACCAAAGCATCTTCATTAAGCCCTTCTCCCTCTTCTCACACCTGGCTAACCTCCCAATTTGTGCTTTTGCTCTACAGTTCTGGAACTAGCACCAGCATATTCAGCATGTGTTATGCTGGTTCTTTTTGTTAGAAAAAAAAACTTTGTTCCTACATTATATATACATAATACTTTTCTCCTGCATTATGTGATGGCAGGGAGGTAGCTGGCAGTCAGTCATGCTTCTTTCTGGTTATCCAGCCATGACTCTTGCCTTGGCCTGAGACTCTACAGAAACACTCCTAAAGCAAAGCCAGGAGCATTCCTGTCTCTCTTTAACTTCTGTGTATCATTAACAACTGCTAAGCAGGTAACATTTTTAAATCCTCTTCTCCACTGACTTTAAACGTGCTACTGTTTAGTTTCTTCTCTCTGTACCTTTCATCTACTTGGCTCATTCTTTTGCATTCTTACCTTTAAATGGAGATTTCCAATGTTAGGATTTTGGATTTCTTTTCTTCCTCTGCTGTGTCATATACAGACCCTGGCTTGCTTACTGTCATCAACCTGATATTCCTTGAATATGCCCTATACTTTCCCTCTAAGACCATACAGTCCTCTCTGCCTAACAAGTCTTATAATTCTTCAGGACCTAGCTTTGCTACCACTTCCATGAATTCCAGTCAGAAATTAGCTCTCAGTACTAATTATAATAGTCTCTGACCTCTATAATGCTGTGCTGCTTTGAGGTTATTTCAGTCTTTCCCACTATTAGATCCTAGAGGGCAAAGGATCTCTGAGTCTCCTTTCACAGGGTGAAGCAGTAGCTCAGTTAACATGACCATTGGAAATGGCCTATGTGTTCTGTTCTGGGGTTTTCCATTATGCATGTTGCTGCCATTTTGAATGTAGCTGCTCCACGAACTATGGGATATTTAGTTTATCAGACTCCAGAGAGTAAGTGCCATTGGCACCCACTGTCATTGTAACAACAAAATACTTTAAAAAATTAAAATATTAAAATTCTCCCAGCTTTATGTTCATTGAAAAATGACACTTAATTAGGTAATATAAGATCTATAGTAGTATAGACATAGTTAGGAAAATAAAATCCCTATAAGTCTGGAGGTAAGTGGCTTCTGGTGTGGTCAGTGGCATAACAATGTCAGAGATAATATTTGCTGCAATATCCTTACCTTTTTTTTGTGACCACAGGATGACTGCTGTGGTTTTTACCATCACATCCCAACTCAAGGTAGGAAGGTGATTAGAGGAAATGTAGTACCATGTGTATTATTAGTATTTATCAGGTAAACGCTTTTTGTGGCTCCTCCTCAGCAGACACTGCTATATTTCATTAGCCAGAACTTCATTTCATAATGATCCACCTAGCTGCAAGAGGGCTAGAAAAATAGGTATTTGGTTTACGGTTTGAGGTAGAGAGGAGTAAGAATGGATATTGGCTAGGCCCCCTATGCAGTTTGCAACAACAGTGATCCCAAAAGAAAATGTTTGATTCATATGCAAGGTGCTAGAAATGGTTTGGATATTTAGAAAGAACCCATTGTGATTATCAAGTTTTAAACTTCTGGATCACTTTGCAAAGTGTTTTCCTGAGATAAAATTTGAGTTTTGCAGGTAAGTTCTCCTAGAAATAGACTTTGAGATCAAGTTTAGGGTTCAAGATGTTTATCAGGGAGCACCCTTTGGATCAACACCTGTGAGAAGGGAAAAGCTGTCGTTGTGAGATTGCTAGAGGGCAGAGAGGAGTAGTGCCACCACACAAGTTCCATGACTTGAGCCAACTACATAAGGAGGCTCGGAGGGAGTAGCCCTCAGAGCTAACCTGTCTCTATAAATCAGAAACAGCAATCAGGAAAATAACAAAATATTTTTGTCAGTAATCTGTAATACATCAGGAAATCTTAGGAACCTAGAAATAAACCCTAGAGCCCAGTATTTTACATGTGAAGACTGAAGCCCAGATGAAAAGTAATTGCCCCAGGTCACAGAGAAGTAAATGGTATGGTCAGACCTGGCATTCATTTTAAGTACATATAACTTTATTGTAAGTGCCACATTTTATTCAGCTTTGCCATGTGACCTGGTATTCTTGACCCTAGGTTCTTCCATAATACCATTACTATCTTTATGTGAAGTTATATATTCTCTATTTCTGTCTCCATATTACACAGTGCAGAGAGTTACTATCCTTTTTCAAATAAAACATAGCTGTATTTAAAGACTGGGATTTTTCTTTCTAGGTTGCCGATAAACTTTATGCAATGATAACTGTAGATTTTATTCTCCCTTCAACAAGTACAGTTAGCTATCTGTCACTTATTTGTCCAGTAGACGAAAATTTTCCTGTATAAAGACTAGCCAGTACTGCCAAGTGCAGTGACGACATTCCACAGAAGTCTATCCTTGCTGTCAGCCAGAGTCATGTCTGGAACAGGGTTCTTCTCCAGTCTATGGCTCCTAAAGGGAGGCCTTTCTTATGACCAATTAAACAACAGCCAGGGATATGTCTTTGTTACAAGTTTATTTTAATCTAAGTGAAGCACACATTGAGAAATTGGGATGAGAATGGCCAAGTCACCAACTAAATTCTGGTGTGTTTGGATTTTATTTATATAAACAGTAGGCCCTATGAAGGGTGCCACTCACAGCAGCTTTGCAGGGCCTTCTGCATGTTTGAGGGGCTCTCATCCTGCTTTGTTTCAAGCACTGTGCATGGGGAGCTTTTGCTCCTAGGCTGCCAGATTGTGTCTATGGCTGCTCAGGACTATTGAGTTTTCCCATTTATCAAGAACTTAATCTGGGCAAGGCAGCACTTTCTATACTCTATCTTAATATACCTTATCTTACTGTAAGGAAACAAACTGGATAAGTAATTTTGTCTCCGTTTTGTAGATAAGAAAACTGGACTCAGAGCTTTTTGCTCAGGAGCATATATTCATCTGTGACAAATCTGGGGTTCACTCCAGAAAAGTTTAACTGCAAAACACATGCTCTTAACCAGTAAACTACACAGTTTAAAGAGTAAAAACCACAGCCATGCTCTCTTCCAGGTTCTATTCTCATGCATGTAAGAAGTGAGTTCTATAATGCTGAACCTAAAGTAAGTTTTCATAGTAAACTGTGACATTTGCATACGCATCCTACCTTTTGCAAGTTTCCCTTTGATCACACAGTGATTGAAAACTAAAATAGTTGTATACAGTCATTAGATTTTGCTTTAAGTTCAAATAGGTATAAAGGAAGCCTTATGAAATGTTCCGGAATTGTGTTAAATATTTCCTTACCTTATAGTTGTACAGTTTCACCCTTGAACAACACAGGTTTGAGCTGCTCAGGTCCACTTATACAGACATTTTGTAAATAGAAAACACACATAGCATCAACAAATACAGTACAATAAATGTATTTTCTATTTTTTTTCTCTTGCTCACTTTATGGTAAGACTATAGTACGTAATACATATAACATGCAGAACGTGTTAACTGTTTAAGGCACTATTAGTAAAGTTACACGTAGCTTTTTGACAGCATGAAGAGGTCAGCAACCCTTACCCCCGCATTGTCCAAGGATCAACTATATGCACTTATAGGATAATTAATGCAAATTCCTATACAGCTCCTTTGAAGACCTTAAATTGGGGCACAATATCAGGATAATTAGCATTAGTCAGTATGTGGCTGTTATACTGATCTCTCTTGTCTTCTTGAAATGATCATATATCAGCTGTTTATTGAGGGCTGTTTTATAAATTTTATAATTTCAAAGACCTGAGTTAAAAGGAGCTGAGTCTCTGAGGATGGAATCACAGAAGTAATTTGTGCAGCCTCATCCTGAAGCACTTTTGAAATAGCTTTTTGAAAATAGGTTGAGGATCTTAAATTAGGAACCATTAATCTGTTTTTTTTTTTTTTTAGGAAACTGAAGCACAAAAATATAAAATTTCTCACAGTGTTATGGCAGAATCGGGACTTAGAATTTAGGTCACCTTACTGCAAGTCCATCGTAACCCTCTATGCCCTAGTGCCTTTCTCCCTCCCATGTAGATCTTAATGCTGTCTTTACATAGATACCTTTTCTCCATTGTATTTTAGATAACTTACATTATCTAAAAACCTGTCTACAGAGGAATTTAATGATCACCAGAAATGATGGCTGAACTGCTTTGGTTTGCACTTTCATGTTGAGTTTTTTTTTACCTGTCACTTTTAGAAACTAACCCTGCAGCATGTGAACAGTAACCAGTGCCTGGATAAAGCCACAGAAGAAGATAGCCAGGTGCCCAGCATTAGAGACTGCAGTGGAAGCCGGTCCCAGCAGTGGCTTCTTCGAAACGTCACTCTTCCAGAAATATTCTGAGACCAAATTTACAAAAGAAAAAGAAAAAAATAAGGATTGACTGGGCTACCTCAGCAAACATTTCTGCCACATTCTTAAGTAGCAAAAAAGGAAAAGTACTTTTCCTCCTCTGCGGGATATAAGGTTTATCAGCCATTACTAGACTCCTCTCGCTTTTTACTAGCTGTGAACCAGCCTTCCTGTCCAAGGACGTGAAACTACATAGTATCGAGACTGTGCACACCGATGTTTACAAGATTGAAAGATTGTTCATCAAGAATCATTGTAAGGAATATTCAGACAGTGAAACAATCATCAAGATGTGCTGTCCAGAGAATTGCACCTTCTATGGTCGGTACATCAGTAATTTCTGCTGAACGTGCTGTCATAATGAAGAAATTTCCAAGATTTTTTTTTTCTGATTAGAACTGGTAGATAGTATATTAAAAATTGATATTAAAAAAAATGAACGAACTGGAACTAGATCCAAAATCAAAAACATTTTTACAGCAATTTAAAAAAACTATATTAAACAGGGTTTAAAGGAAAACAAAACAGAACTATAATAAGTACAATTTGTTATAGTATAGTATCAAATTTCTATATAGATTTTATACCTCACTGGGGAAAAAAACTGATTCCAATGATATTCATTTTGTTTATCTGTAACAGTCATGGATGCTTTTTTTTCCTTGGGGTGCTTAAATTGAGCTAAAAAATGGCTCTCTGAACGTAGTTTTACTTTCTACGATTTTTTTTTTAATTTGGTTTGTGAGCTGTTGAAATTGTAATTTTTAAATGCCTTCAAAAAATGAAAATTTAAAATAATGTCTGGTCTCACTGAACAAGTTAGATATCTCAGTTGCTCTTGGGTCAACTGGCTTATAGACTTTCACCTACACACACAGCCCCACAAATTTCTTAATAGATTTTCAACTTCTTGATTCAACCCGTTATGCTTAGAACCCAAGATTCATACTACTGTACTACAGATTTGTTTTCACAGCAATAAGTCTTCAGTTTTTGTTCATGATTGCACTCAACGAAAGGCCTGCAGAAGTGATTTTGTTGTTTGGGTGTTTGATTTCTTGGAAAACTTTTTTCACTCCATACTAGGATGTGCTTCAGTGTCAAGTGCATATTTAGATTAGGTTCTTGAATTGTAATGTTGATCTACTGCCTTTTTTTAAATAAAATTTGACTGAAAATGTTTAATTGGCATTTTTTAATGAGTTGGCCAAAGAAGTGCAGCCATTGTTCAAGATTATCAATCCTGCATTTCTTCCCTAAATTCCATGTAGATTAGTTTTCTCTTTGTACCTCTGATTTTTAGTATAACAAAATGATCAGAGTATCAATTAATGTTTTAATCTCAAAAAAAAATCTCATGACATTTTTCCTGGTATGTAAAGCACTCCATTGGCAAAAGCGCATATATCTCCCTTCCTCTTTGTAAGATTATATTTAATGATATTCTTTTCTTTGATTATCAGAGACTCACTGCAGGCAGTGCTAGTTCTTATGCATAAGAATGTTTCTGAAAGTTGCATCACTAATGATATTTGCCAAGTTGAGTGTACAAAAAGTTTCTCATATCTTATTCAAGTTAATATCAAGCACATGTGGATGTTTTAGGGTGAGGCTGTAGTATAGAATGCATACATTTGTCCCCAGAAAATTTGAAATGAAGCAGGTGCTGGATGGAAATTTTTTTCTACTCCATGAGCTGTGTTAATCTCTGTTAATTCTATCTTCAGTAAGCCTAATGCTTGAATAAACCAGATGTCTAATCAATAAATTATTTTCATGCTCAGAATTTCAGGTTTTTGTACTTTAGCATAGCTTGATCTTACTCTTTACTGTAAGAAAACAGCAATGTGATTTAAAGTTTTGTTTTGTTTTTAAGAGGGGAATGTGAGTGATTCAATTCATGGGTACTTTTAGAACCTTATAGATAATCCCATTGCCTTTATTTTTCTAATTAAAGAATTCCTAAATACTTTGAAAATATAAACTATTCCTGAATAGCTGTGCCTTACATTGGTTTTATTTGAAGTTAAAATGGATGCCTGTTTGCTAGGAGCAATTTGTAGATTAAGCAGTATGCTAATCACTCTGTTGTAAATTAAATTGAGAGGAATGAATGAAAAAGAAAGCAAAGGATGAAAAGGATTATTTGACCAGTGAGGAATTCATAAATGTGACAACTAAAGATAATTTGAACCCCAATCTGTTCACTCCAATCCCACTCAATGTTTTTCTGTTCCAGTTGGCATTCTTGAAAAAAACAGTACTTTGTTTACCATTCTGCAAATGAAGGGCAACAAGTAGGCCATGTCCTCATTTTGCTAGTCTACATTCAGCTGAAAAACAGACTCCTCTGTCAGGAGTTAGTACTTTCCAGTACTTTCCTATTCTTTCAAAAAGGCATAAAAAGAGCATATTTAACTCCAGAATTACATGTTCTTCAAAGGAAAAAGAAAACCAGAAGGTAGTGTTTCTGAGGTGATACGTGTGAGGAGATACACAAAGAGCAAATCACTTTCTACTGTTTAGAAAATTAGATGTGTTTCTAATTATATGACATTTCTCCCAATCTCTGATTTGCTTGATATAGCTACCAGAATTAATAATTTTGTAGATTATGAAATAAAACTCAGTTGTATTGTCTATATACTAGCAACAAACAAATGAAAATTAAATTTTAAAATACAATAACATAAAGGAAATACAGTACCTACAGAGAAAGTTAACAAAACATGTGAAAGACTTTTACTCTGAAAACTACAAAAGGGTGACACTGTAGGATAATGCAATAAAAATATATTCATAGATTGAAAGACTACACGTTTAAATCAGCTTTCCACTAATTTATCTAGTAATTCAATGAAACCAAAATCCTATGAAGCTTCTTCATAGAAATTCATAAATATGTGGAAATATAACAGATCCAGAATAGCCAACATAAGTTTGATGGAAAAGATAAAGTTGGAAGACTTAACAGTACTCAGTTCCATTATTTGCTTTAAAACTACAGTAATTAAGGGCCTCCCCAGTGGTGCAGCAGGTTGAGCACAGCGCTGTGAAGCTGTACGCAGCCTCTGCAGCACGAGTTCGATTCCTGGCTGGCCAGGGAGATACCCACATGGCGTGGCAGACCTCTCCTGCTTTGCCCACTGCTCCCCTCAGCAGTGCTTTTGGTCTGTCTGCCTGTTCTGCTCCCTGCTCTGTCTGTGGTGAATTCTCTCACCCTCCCGTGTCTCTGGCCTGTACCCCAGTTCTTGTATAAATAAATAAATCTTAAAAAACTACAGTAATTAAGAGAGAATGTGGTGCTAGAATAAACCAATGGAGAGAACAGAGACTCCAGAAATAAACCTACATGTATTTATGTTGGCTTTCCAACAAAAACACCAAGCAGTTCAGTAAAGAAAAAGTCCCACTGGCGCTGGAGTGACTGGACAGCGGCCTGAGAAACAAGCTGAACACTGATGCTTTCACATGATGCATAATTTATTCAAAATGTGTCATAGACCTGAATGTGACAGGCAAAACAAACCTAGAAGAAAATAGAGTGTCTTCATTACTCTTGGGATAGGCAAAGATACATTAGGATACAAAAGACATTAACCATAAGAGAAAAAAAAAATTTCACCAAAGTTAAACTCTTCTCATCAAAAACATACTGTTACAGTGAAAAGGCAGGCCATGACCAAGGAGAAGATATTTGGAATACATATCACTGATAAAGGGATTATATATCTACAAAAAGAAAAGTCAATGAAAAAAGGCACACAAAGTAAGAAGAAATGAATACACACCTCACAGAAGCCATCCAAATCACAATCCAGGGTCCTACTGTCTTACAAGTTAATTTATGCAGTTACTAACAAAAGGGGAAAATGAGTCACCAATGTGAATTAACAGAAACAAAGTTCCAGCAAAGTGAAAGTAGTGTGTGTCAGACTAAACCTGCTAATAATTTAATAACCTTGGGACAAACAGGTTCTCCCTGGATGAAAACAAAGTGCAGAAAATAAAGGGAGTTTGGCCCTTGTTAGAAAAGATCTTCGCTGGATGAGATGACAGATGTAGCTTTGCCCCAGAGAGAGCGTGCCATCTTAGCCTACGGAGTCACATATTTTTTATTTAAGGGGGAAAAAAAATTGGAGGAAATTCAAAACAGGAAGGAATCAGAGTATCCCCAATTCACATAAGAGCTTTTCTCAAATCCTTGGCTGATAACTATGCATGGGTAAGATGCCCAGAAGCCCAGAGGCAAACAACTGGAAGATTGAGATCTGAGCAGAGATGTCAGAGTTGCCCAAGCATAGTTTACAGAGGCTTGATAAACACCTTGGACTTCTATTCAAAAATGAGTTGAAACCCAAGAAAGGCCATGTATAGGAATAAAGACCCTTTCTTAAGGACTTGGGGGCATTCCCAAGGACAAAGTTAAAAATGGGTAAACACCAGACCTAACAATCTAAAACCAAGTCTGCAACATCAAGTTACTCTGCCAATAATTGTCCTCCTGGGTAAAACTCCATTCTCTGGCAGAGAATGGAATACAGAATTGCTTTATGTATCGATCTGAATGTCCAATATACAGTAGAAAGTAACATATAAGCAAAAAAATAATGTTTAAAATAATAGTCAAAGGCAAACCCACTGATGACCAAGATAATGGAATTAGACGAATTCATTGACATAATTTTTTTAAAAAGATACAGAAAAATAGGTATTAAAAGATGAGAAATGTCAGATGTAGAAACTAGACAAAATAATCCTAAAATTGAAAATTATTTGAAAATTTAATTGATTTGGATCAACACTTTGGACTTTTTAAAAAATCACTGAATTTAAATACAATTAAAAAAATCCACACAGAACCACAGAAAAATTGAGGAAGGGAAATTGGCATTTAGTGATGAAGTACATGCATTTGACAAATTAAAAGAAGGATGATAAAAGGATGGAGTCTCTAAGGTAGAATTTGTTTTACACCTCCCTCCTCACTAACACTTGCTGGCAGCCCTTGCCTTCTAAATGCATCAGTCCAATTTCTGCTTTCATCTACACATAACATATTCTGGGGCTGTCTCCCTGCTGAGTCTCTCTTATAAGGACCCTAGGAACATTGATTGGGCCCTACCCTAATTCAGCATGACCTATAACTAACAACATCTGAAAGACTGCTGGCTTGAATTGTGTGCACCCAAGAAAGATATGTTAAAGTTCTAACCCTCTGAACCTCAGAATGTAACCTTATTTGCAAATAGGGTCTTTACAGAGATAATCAAGCTACAATAAAGTCATTATAGTAGACCCTAATCCATTATGACATGTCTATTAAAAGGGGAGATGTGAACAGGGGCATACAGAGGGGAAGGTGAGAAGGCACAGGAGAACGCTGCCCACAAGCAGCACATGATGCCTGAGGCTACAAGAAGCTGTAAGAGAGCCAGGGATCAGATTATCACACACAGCACTCAGAAGAAATCCCGACCCTGCCCAACTCCTTTTTGAGCTTCTAACCTTCAGAACTCCAGGAATAATACATTTCCATTGCTTAAGCAATTCAATGTGGTACTTTGTTATGGCTACTCTAGGAAAATAATACAGACCTTATCTCAAAATTAGGTCCTATTTTGAGCTTCTGAGTAGATAGGAATTTGGGGAAACCCTTCAAAGCAGAAGGGCCTTTCTGGTGGCGCAAGGGGTTAAGCAGAGCACTGTGAAGCTATCCGCAGCCTCTGCAGCTACAGCAGGGGTTCACTCCTGGGCCAGCCAGGGACCTAACCCACATGGCGCAGCAGACCTCTCCTGTCTTGCCTGCTGCCTCCCTCAGCAGTGTGTTTCAGTGAGTCTGCCTGTTCTGTTCCCCACTCTGTCTCTGGTGGGTCCTCTCACCCCCCGCCATCTCTGGCCTGTATCCCAGCTCTTGTATGCATAAATAAATAAATCTTTTTTAAAAATCCAGAAATAATCTCTTATATTTATGATTATTTCAAATTGAAAAGAATAGTCTTTTCAGCAAAAAAAAAAGTTGGATTAGCTTCATGCAAAAGAAGTTAGATCACCTATGTCCTACCATACATAAAAATCAACTCAAAATGGATCAAAGACATAAATACAAGAAGTAAAACTACAAAACTCTTATAAGAAAGGCATGATTGGGCCTCCCCGGTGGCGCAGCTGTTGAGCGCTGGGCTGCAAAGCTGCTGGCAGCCTCTGCAGCACCAGTTCAATCCCCGGCCGCCGGGTGAGGGTCCCACATGGCACGCAGACCTCTCCTGCCGCCCTCTGCTCCCCTCGGCAGTGTACTTCGTCAGTCTGCCTGCTCTGCTCCCCGCTCTGACTCTGGTGAATTCTCTCACCCTCCCGCGCTTCTGACTATACCCTAGTTCTTGTATAAATAAATAAATAGGCATAATCTTCATGAACTTAGACAATGAGCTCTTAGATATGAAACTAAAAGCACCAGCAAAAAATTGTAAAAAGACAATTAAAAATTAAGACTTCATCAAAACCAGACACTTACGTGCTTCAAAGGATATCATTAAGAAAGTGAGAGGACAACCCATAGAATAGTACCAAATACTGGTTATTCATATCCAAGAAGGTACTTGCATCCAGAATATATGAAAATCTCTTACAGTTAACCAACAAAAGGACAAATAACCCAACTGAAAAGTGGATACAGAATTTGAATGGGCATTTCTCCAAAGAAGATATGAAAAATCCAGTACTTATATGAAGAGATAATCAACATTATTAGCCATCAGGGAAATACAAGTCAAAAGCCACAGTAAGATTCCACTTCATGAGCGATGTGGATGGCTATAATAACACACATCAAAAAAAAGACAGTAAAGGGGCCTCTCTGGTGGCACCAGAGGTTAAGATGCAGCACTATGAAGCTATCCACAGCCTCTGCAGTATGAGTTCGAGTCCGATCCTGGCCAGAGAGGTGACCCACATGGCACAGCAGACCTCTCCTGTCTTGCCCGCTGCTCCCCTCAGCAGTGTACTTGGGTCAGTCTGCCTGTTCTGCTCCCCACTCTGTCTCTGGTGAATCCTCTTACCCACCCCCAACCTCTGCCCTGCACCCCACCTCTTGTGTGCATAAATAAATCTTAAAAAAAAAAGAGAAAACACTTCATGATGTCACTCACATATGGAAGATCATGAAACAAAACCAATGAACAAACTCTTAGACTATAAGAACAAAATAGTGGCTGCCAGAAGGAAAGGGAAGGGGCTTAGTCAGTTGCATGGTGAAGATGAAAACTAAAATTTTGGTGGTGAATATAATATAGATTATACAGATGTTGGTTTATAATGCTGTAAACATGAAGCCTATGTAATATCATAAGCCAATGTTACTTCAATTAATGTTTACAAAAGAATATTTCACTTCAAGTTGGGATTGTCTCAAAATGTAACTAAGGGTCAATACAAAATCTAAGAATGAATTGGTCAGATGTTTGATAAAACATTTCCAGAAAAGCTTATTGCAAAACCATGTATGTAATCTATTTTTAAAGC